CTTCCTAATGGGCAACATTTTCTATCTTTTAAATGTTGGAAAGTTTCATATTAATTTAACTCTCAAACATTGACTATGTAAAATTAAATAAGCAGCCAGTAAAAGGACAAACCAGATTTCCTTTTGAACTAAATTCTAAAGCTTATATGAAAAAATAAGAATACCTAGAAAATACTGAAAAAGAATAATGAGGAAGGTGAAACTAGGATTATGAGACATTAAAATATATTATAAAGTGATATTAATTAAAATAGTATAACCAGGCAGATAAGTCAATAGAACAGATAGAAAGACTAAAATAGAACCAAAGTTAAGGGAATCAGTATATGATAATAGTGACCATTCAAATCATAAGGAAAGAGTTCAGTCAAAAACTGATGTGAAGAAAACTAGGTAAGATAAATAACAAACTTGGAAAAATATTTGTCACTTTTGCAAATAATAAGGGTTTATTTCTTTGATAGTGAGCTCCTATGGATCAGTAAGAAAATAGCACTAGTTCAATAGAAAAATAGGCAAAAATATAAAGCATTTACAGAAGAAACACAAATGGCTTCTAAGTAAATAAATCTATACTAAAAATATGACCATACTTATTTATAATATGAAAAATGCTAATTAAAACTATAATGAGATAAATTTTATACTTATCGTATTGGCAAAATTGAAATTTGGTAATACATTGTGTTGATAAGGGCATAAAGAAATAGACATCTCAGACATTACCGGTAGGAATATAAATTGGTTCAAACTCCACAGAGAGAAATTTGGCGATATCTATCACAATCTCAAATGCTTATACACCAAATGCCCAGTTATCCTTCATTTCTGGGTATTTCTCCTACAAATAAAGCATCAAAATTGTGTATTTACAAGAATATTTATTGCACATTGTTTACAACAGCGAACAATTAGACACAACATCAATGTCCATAAATAATTAAATAATTAATTGTTTAAATAATTTATTTTTCATCTTTAAAATCTAATACTTTGCAGCCATCAAAAAGAATGAGACATCTTCTGCATGGAGAACGAAAAATCTAAAAAATAAATTAAGTGTAAAGAAGCAAGATATGGAACAGGATATACACTATGCTCATATATGTTCGTATATAAATATGCACTTACACATAGATACATATGTGTGAGCATAGTATAGATACATGCATATGCACTATATTTACATAGAAAACAATGTATAAGCATTATGTATTAAAAACTGTGTAAAAACACACTGTATCCATGTATAAACTATCTTTAGAAGCATACACAAGTATTGGTTAACAATGGTTGCCCCAGTGAAAGGAACTGGGTGACTTGCAAAAAGGAATGTGAGGGAGGATCTCTTTTCTCTGATAATTTGTGCCTTTTGTACTTCGTGAATTGTGTTCACTGAGGGTGTCTAAACTATTTAGCAGTAAAAAATTTAAAAGTCTATCATGAACAGATAGAGGAAATAGCAATCTTTGGTCATGTGTAGAAGTATTAAGGCATCTGATTGGTTAATTGTTAAAAAAGGCTTACAAGTACAGGGGCAAAAAGGAGAAATGCTTATTTCCACTAAGATCAAAAGAATTTAGTGCTTTACCACCATAATTCAAAAATAATTTTAATACCTTAATGTATGTTGCAATAACATTGTATATAAATAAGCACCCCCCTCCTTCCACTCCCCCATCCACATCACAAATAAAGGCTGACTACCTCATTGCCCCTCAACATTTCCTCTGAAAAGCGATCAATGTCTCCTGCCTGGCCATTAAATAGATTTTGAAAAACTCTTCAATCCGTATCAGTCTCATATCCTTATTTAGTTCCTCCAATTTGCCCTCAGCTGGGAATTCTGCAGGCAACTGTGATTCTGTTGTGTTCACCACTCATTTGAAGGGTCCCATCCATCATCATTTCTAGTCCTTTTCTGATGCAATGTAGCTTGTTCTTTGTCTTTCTTATAAACTGAATGGCTGTTAAATTATCCATTTATCTTCCTTCAGATTTTCTGTTCAGTTTCTCAGGCCCTATCAGGGCTGTCTTTTCTACCTTGTTTGCTGACTTTTCATTCCATTGCCCCTGTTCTTGGAGGCATCTTGGTTCACCATGCTGCCCTTCAAAACAAACTCTCTGGTTCAGTCTGCTTTTCGCTTGTTTGAAAGCAAGCAGAACTTGCTACTCAAGTAGATTTCCTTTAAAAATTCTGTTCCTTTGAATAGTTTTGAAAACTTTGAGGTAATCTATTTCAAATTTTATACATAGATAGTAGGATATATTGGAACAAACCTTAAACTAAAAGTCCAAAGTCTTGGGTTCTAAACCCAGCTCTGCCATTATCAAGTCAGGTCACTTAATAGTGACCTTTCAGGGTTTTGCTTTCACCTCCTACAGATGGTCTGCAGGTACTCACCTAGTTAACTATTCTAGAATAAAAATACCATGTTTCTTCTGTTAAAGGTGACCCAATAAATGATCTCAGGTTTGTATAATACTAACGCCTGCACACACATTATCTCAGGCAGCACTGAGTCATACTGGTTAGGAGTCACAGATTTGAAAGCAGAAAGAATCTATGCCCTGTCACTTACTATATATTCTTAGGTAAGTTACAGAAGCGCTATAGCTTCAGTTTTCACATCTGAAAAAAAGGATCCTCATAGCATCTAACTTGGTATCGTGAAGAGAATTACATCAGATCATGTTTGGAAAGTTAGTCTTGAGCACATACTAAGTGCTCAAAAAATGTTGTTATGGACTCACTACATCTTTGTGAGGCAGAAAGCTTGGCTATTATATATCCAAATTTACAGCAAAGATACTGAGGTTGAGAGATGATATTAATGATAACAATAGTGACTCACATGCTGGAGGGCTTTAACTATAATAGGTGTACTCTTTCCAAAAGCTTTTCCACATACTTCACCTCCCTTGGTTCAGACTCTTGGAAAGGTTGCTATTGTCTATCATCAATTCCATTTGCTCCAAGAAGAAAGTCACTTTGTGAGGCCCAAAACCTTTAAAAAGTAGCAGAGTGAAGCTGCTTTCAGCCAAACCTACAAGCCGGTGGTGATCACCATAAAAAGAAAGCTGAGGATGGTGAGCCCTCAGTTTATGAGTGTAGAGGGCAGGTTTGAAAGAGGACTCATAAAAACACTCAGCCCTTACTGCCTCCTCTTAGGCCCTCATCTTAGGTCCGTCTTCTCCCTCCTGCTGGCTATCTTTCTGTATGTCTCTGTTTCTCTATTTCTCCTTTCTTCTTTAGATTTTTCAGCTGTTCAGATCACCTGTAACACTAAAACCTAAATTCGATGATGATATATTAAATCAAAGGCTTAGAGAATAATTTGTCCTTTTTTTGTTATTTTATGGTTCTATAGCTCATCCCTCTGCTTGTAGGAGTTATTGGTTCAGATGCTGAGACTCCCCTAATTCACTGAGGCCATTGTGAGCAGCAAGTATAACCTCCCTAGTTTCTCATCCGTGAAATAAAGGCAGGAATGTTAACACCGCCACAGGGCAATTCAAGAGTGATAGGTTATTTCAGGGCATCCTGAAAGCACAAGATGCTGAGGAAATGCAAGCGCTTACTAGTAACAATGTGATAACCCAATCTTTCCCGTTCCCGTCACTCTCTTGCACTTGCTGTGTTGCTGAGGCAGCCCTGTGGGGTCTCCCAGTGGCTGGTAACAACACACACACTGCTGCTGCAGCTTGGATGAGGGAGGAGGTTGGTAGATTCAGCTGTGCTGGGCATCCTGGCTGAGTAACAGAGACAGTGAATGTAAACAATTAAGATGTTCTAATAAAGGAACACAAAGAGGATCCCAGAGGCTAGAATATCTACCTCCTGGGGGCAAACAGAGGTTTCCTAAGAGCCTGTCATGTGAGCAGAGTCCTCAAGCAAGACTAGGAGTTGCATGGGGAGAGGAGGGAAGGTACGCCTGCAGATGGCTGGGTGAGCACAGGCACGGGGTGTGGAACATTAGTGAGGTAGCAATTAGGGAAATGGCAGGTGGCCACTTACGGCAAGAGCAGAGGGTACAAAGGAAGGAGAGAAAGGAGGTGGGATGGGAAGGTCAATTGTGCCAACTGAGATTTTTTTCCTGTAGTAAGGGGAAAGGAGGGCCTGAAGGACTTTAAGCAGGTGAGCCACGCAGTCAGCTGTGCTTTGGGAGGATAGCTGTGGTGGTGACATGGAGCCTGGAGGATGGGACTATATGTATGAGACTGGGGTCAGGGTGGAGGCAGCTGGCAGGGAGGCAGTCAGGAGACCCTACTAATATAGGGGATCCAAATGAAGAAGAAAAATCATGATGGCACGACTAGAAAGTAATAGAGAAGAAAAAATACCCCAGGCATTTTGGCCTTGTTTTATAACATACTTCTTAGCTTTTTGATGGCATTGGAAGTTTTTCTGAAGTTGTCTTTTGTTTCCTGCCTTCACTGTATGCTCTGAATTCCCTTCTCTTTCATGCTTTTTACTTTGCATCTATTCTTTCATATTGAAGGCTTTGCTCAAACATTCTGTGGCCCTTATCTGTTTGCATATATTTAAATGCAAGGTACTGAAAGACGAAAGACCTATTCAAGGCAGAGTACAAAGTGGACCAAGGCAGGTAAGTGGGAGAGCCGTGACTGTCAACTGGTGGCTCCATTTTAAGGGCATCCTGCAGGAAATTGGTTCATTGAGAGAATCTGAAGTGCAAGTCCATGCAGATCTTTTCTCTGAGGCTATCTTCTCTAGAGAAGAATCCCACTTTTCTGCTTCTGGGGGTATCTGGCTGCTGGCACTCCAGGTGCAGAGTCATAGGGCATCTGAGAGTCCAGCAAATCATTCCACGGGCTTTAGATTTCAGCCACAGATTCTCTTCATGAGTACTCTGAGAGAAGAACTCTCTTCTGACTTGGCAGTGGCTACACAGTCTGTTGACCTGGCTATGTGGTTGTGGGAGATTCCTGAGATCCTATTTACCAACTTCTAACCTTTCTTTCCCTCTTGTTTCCAGGCTGATTCCTCAACCTCGCTGTTGTGAATTGACTTGTGTCCTCCCAAAAGCTATGTTGAAGTTCTAACCCGGGTACCTGTGAATGTGGCCGTGTTTGGAAATAGGGTCTTTGCAGATGTTAGTTATCAAGGTAAGATGAGATCATATTGGATTAGAATGGGCCCTAAATCCAATAGTTTGTGTCTTTATAAGAAGGTCATGTGAAAACACAGACACAAGAAAATGTTATGTGAATACAGAGGCAGAGGATGTCAAGAAGTGCTAGCAGCCATCAGCAATGAGGAGAGATGCGTGGAACGGACTCTCCCTCAGAGGCTTCACAAGGAACCAGTCCTGTCGACACATGGAGAGAATTCGTGGCTGAATTCTAGCTTCCAGAACTGTGAGCAAATACATTTCTGTTATTTTAAGCCACGCAGTTTACTGTACTTCGTTACAGCAGCCCTCGGAAACTAACATATCCACTCTTGGCTGTTCCTAAGTCCTGAGCCTCTCAGGCATTCCTTCTGAAAGGCAGATGGGCTGGCTCCCTGTTGCTCTCCCCTTGTGCAGACATTCTGGGAGATTACTTCCTTCTTAGCTTCCAATATTTGAGGGTAGCTTATCTCCACTTATTTTCTGTTTCCTTCAGAGTGTATATCTTTCTTTGAAAAAAAGAAATGCAACTTTATTATTTCTAATCATGCTTAATAGTATTAAATAAGTCAATAAAATGAGGTGCCAAAGTGCTCATTTCAGAATTATCTCTATTAGGAAAAAAGTAGGGGATAACTAAATAAATTACAACAAGTCAATTGATCAGAATACCAGACTGTCATTTCAAAGGATAATGTGAAAGCTGGATGCGGTGGCTCATGCCTGTAATCCCAGCACTTTGGGAGGCCAAGGCGGGTGGATCACTTTAGCTCAGAGGTTGGAGACCAGCCTGGGCAATGTGGTGAATCCTCGTCTCTACGAAAATACAAAAAATTAGCTGGGTGTGGTGGCATGTGCCTGTAGTCCCAGCTACTCAGGAGGCTGAGGTAGGAATATTGCTTGTGTCTGGGAGGCAGAGATTGCAGTGAGCCGAGATTGCACCATTGCACTCCAGCCTGGGTAATAGAGTGAGACTCTGTCTCATAAAGAAAGAAGGGAAAAAAAAAGGACAATGTAAAAATTATGTAGAAACATGGAAACATATTAAGAACTTTATGTTAAGTGACCAAAGCAGAGTGTATTACCAGAATACACTCATGTACCCTGGTAAAAATGTGTTTGGATGTGGACAGTAGTATGAAGGGGTATCAGAAATAAGAGAATGTGAGGTTCTTATTTCTCCCAACAGTCACTCATGACAATTTAGGTATTCTCTAATGTATATTTTCTTTACTCTTCTCATTTGCTTTTGATACCTCAACAGCAGAGTTTTTAACATTCACATATATATATATTTCTCCTTTCCTTCCTCCCTCCTTTCCTCCTGCCCTTCCTGCCTCTTTCCTACTTCTTCTGAAGAGAGCCAAAGAAGAGAGGGTCATAAAGAAGAGGTAAATAAGCTTTTAAAATATGCTCTCTAAAAAAACTAGATAGTTACTTAAGGGAAGAGAACATTCCAAGCCTTGTAAGGACTTGGGGTTAAGAGACATTTAGCTTCATTATTCCAAAGCAGAAATCCTTTTAAAAAAGAGTTACGTATGTTGGTCAGCTGGATAAGGAGAATTTAAGATAAGAATTAAGATCTTATCTTAAATCTGTCCTCAGAAACCTTATTGGGGGTATATTCTATTTTTTCCATTGGATTCCAGCATTTTAATATGGATTCATGGCACTGTTTGAGCTCATGAAATATATATGAATAGGAATATATTAACACTAACATATAAAGAATGGGTATTTTTTTCAAGGTTGCATGAAATAAATTATAGTCCATTTTATTTACCAAAAAATATACATAGAGATGGTTGTTTATCAGGCCAAACTCCTTTTTGGAGGTGACAAACATCAAGTATTCTGGAAGAACTTTGAGATGTAGCGAAGGGTATGAGATGCCTTCACCTGCCAATTATCATGCATAATGTTGGAAGGAACAGGAACTTAATCGTTCTTCTATTAATGAGTCCTCTCTGCTACTCAGAACTTCTTCCTACCCAGCACATTCTTTTTTTACTTTTCCTTTCTTTCTTTTTTTTTTTAAAGAGATGGGGTCTTGCTCTGTCACCCGGCTAGAGTGCAGTGTTGCAATCATAGCTCACTGCAGCCTCAAACTCCTGGGCTCAAGCAATCCTCCCACCACAGACTCCCAAGTAGCTGAGACTACAGGTACACACCACCATGCCTGGCTAAGAACAGAGCATATTCTTAGTTGATGTTTGCACTGATTACTTTTAGACACTAGAGGATCCTAAAAGTTTTCTAAGTCAAAGAAAGATTAAATTATAATCATGATAAATTTAGTATTTTATTGTATTATAATTTCTCAAAATCATATGTATGCAACATACAATATATATTTCTTGAAATCTATCTGTGACATATGCTAGCTCCATCTCTTAACGTGAATATTAAAATAACTAGAGGACTATACTTTCTGGCAATGCTGGATAAAAGAAAATTTAATGTATTTCCTAGATGAAAAAGTCAAAGCTCTGAAAAATTCATGGCTATTAACTGGCCCTTTACAGTAGAATTCAACTATGATGAGAACCAAACCACTTTATAAAAAGATATCATAGGCCATATACTCCAGCTTATGGGCAGGAATATAACAGTGCATACTCTGATGAAAGGTTTTATACATAGTCATGTACCTCATAATGGCATTTCAGTCAATGATGGACCATATCTACAACCACGGCCCCATAAGGTTATAATACCATATTTCTACTGTACCTTTTCTATGTTTAAATATGTTTAGATGCACAAATTTACCATTGTGATACAGTTGCTTACAGTATTCAGTGCAGTAAAATGCTGTACAGGTTTGTAGCCTGGGAGCAATAGGTTATACCATATAGCCTAGGTGTGTAGGAGGCTGTACAATATAGGTTTGTGTAAGTACACTAGGATGTTTGCATGATGAAATTGTCAAAGATGCATTTCTCAGAATGTATCCCTGTTGTTGAGCAACACATGACTGTATTTATAGCTGATAACTAAATGACATTATAAACTTACTTCATACATTCCACTGCTTATACTGCATCCTATCATTCACATTTCTGTTTCTTCATTCCTTTGCTCAACAAACATTGGGCTGAGCAGCTCTAATGTGCTAGCACTGTGCTAGGTGCCAGGAATATGGTGGCTCCAGGAAACCAGTCTAATGGGGAAGAGACAGAAAGATAATCACACACAGAGTGTGTGGTTATCAGGAGATGGAGACAGTGCTGTGGAATGTTGTGGGGAAGCAGAGGTTTTACAGAAGTGACAGCTTGGGCTGGTGTCTTCCAGGCAGACATGAGAGCGAGGAGGCATAGGCAGAGGCCAGGGAAAATGGACCAAAGGGCTAGTGAGTCCTGTGCTTGGGGCAAAGGGTATCTGGCAAGGAAGTGGGCAGGGTGACAGGAGATGAGGCCAAGGAATAGGTGTGGGCTTCATAATGAATGAGAGGGTTTCTGAATGCTAAACCAAGGACTCTGGAAAGTACCTTATAGATTGTGATAGTAACCTGCGGTCTTTAAAGCAGGGAGATGCTGTGATCAGACTTTTTTTTTTAAAAAAAGATTATTTTGTCAAAAATTTGGAAGATAGACTGTAGTAGAGGGGCCTATAAATTACATAAAACCAACACTTTTGAATATTAATGTTTCTCTTCCATTCATATTTGACTAATAACACATAGAATATTTTCTGAGATAAACAGACTTTACTATCAGCAGCACTCCGATTTGGGTACATTATTATGTAACAAGGACAATATTTTGAGAATAGTAAGCCAGTGCATTTTCCATTCTGTTTGAATGGTGATGCCTGGGGCTCCTCTCCCATTATCTCAGTATGCTTCCCTCCTTCAGGCAAATGGCAGTTCCCAGCTAGAAACAAGCTGCCATCATTCAGCTTTGAAAGAGAATAACCCTGCTTGTAGCTTTGCATGGTGAAGTGGCCTTCTCCTTTCTCTATTAAGAACCAAACCTGGCTAAGTTAGATCTTCAAGTTTTACTACAAAACTCTAGCAGGAAGAACACAGAGGAGACCATATAAGGATAGTTCCCATCAGGAAAAGCAAAGCAAATGGAAATATTAGGGGAAGAGGGGAGTGGGGAGAGGGGCAGGGAGAGAGAAAAGAGGAGAAAGAGAGAGGGGAGAGAGAGGCAGAAAGAGGTAGGTGAGAGAGGGAGATCAGAAGTGAGTAGTCCTGGCTTCACATTCCTTAGGGGTCAAACCTTAAAGGTGAGGGGAGGGCTTATATTTCAGATTTCAGAGCCTAATTCAGGAAAATAATAGAATCTTCCTAAAGCAAGTTGGCACCACCCAGGCAGCATATTAGAAATTTGTGTGGACAGCAGGGTAACGAGAAAGTAGCTGGGAGTTCATGGGTGCCCCAGGGGGAATGAGGAAATGCCAAGGGAACCAGTCAGTTAGAACTGGCCAGGAAGCTGCTGGGGGTGGTGCAGGGGGCTTGCCAAGAGGCTGCCACAAGGACCACAGACTTAAGCAGCCACAGCTAGTGGCCAGGGCTGGCACAAAGTGCTCATCACACCCACACCATAGTCACACGGGGCTGGCACAGCATCACAGCCAGAGTTGTGACCAGCCACTTCTCAGTTAACCCAGAAAGACCCAACAGGCGAGATGTGCACCAGGCGTCCTTCTCCTGAAGGTCACAAAATCATCACAACCATAGGTGAGTTCCCTGGTACCTAGATGTCAGCTGGGGAGGAGAAAGAGCTCTGACTGGGAGTACTTTAACCCGAAGAGACTGAGATACTTTAATATAGTGAAGTTTAAATAATAGTCCCTGAACACAGCCACCACCCTACTCCCCATCACCAGGAAAAAGTGAAGCCAGATAGATCAGTTATAGAGAATATAGGAAGTTGTTTTCCTTCCTTCCTTCCTTGCTTCTGTCTTTCCTTCTCTCCTCCCCTTCCCTCCTCTCCCCTCTCCTCCCTTCCCCTCCCCCTCCTCTTTTTTTCCCTCCCTCTCTCTCTCTCTCCCTACATTCCTCCCTTCCTCCCTCCTTCTTTCTTTCGTATTTTTTGAGTTATGTATGATGGCATTCCATGTATATTCCCCCTTTGTAAGGATAAGTAAGAAACTAAACCTTTCATCCACAAGAATACTAAAAGTCATAGAGAAACACAGGAAACTAACTGATTTGGGTGGTGTCTTTTTTTTTTTTTTTTTAATATCTGATGAAGTTGTTCTTAGGGAACACTGGATTGCTTTTAAAGTACTTTCATC